TGTAGCCAGTGTTACTTTGTGTACAATGACGAACAGTTTGCTGTCTCTGGTAAGTGTTACTGTGTGTGATGTGCATCACCTCATATTGAGGTGCTGGCCGTATCGTTGCAATAACGCAGAAATCCTCTGGGGGGGCGATAGAAGTTACACACCACAGCTTTTATGCTGAACAATATCTACAGGTTTTGGGTCATCATCTACTTCCATCCAGACTTTTTTGGGACTAATTAATAAGCAAGAATACCCCAGACTGCATAGTGCATGCATGGCAGCAGCATGGCTCTGTAGTAGAAGGGTCCTGGTGCCAAACCTAAACCAGCCTGCCCCCAGTCCTGACTTGAGTCCCATTTAACGCAAAACTATTCTGAAACATGCTGCTGGCGTCAAATCCAAATTATGATATAATGATGTTTATTTGTTCCACCATTTCTAGTCAGATGTTGGGTTTATAATGTCTGCACTCTTATGAAATTTCAGTTGCACATATTTGAGAGCACTTGCTCAATCTTTTCTCCCGTCAGTTCTCAGAACCGAACTGAACGGAGGCAGCGAGCGAGCTCCGGATCCCAACCAGAGATCTTCTTACAGTCCTTAATGTCTCTGTTGTTCTAATTCCACCACAGGCCACAGTTTACTCTGCCCACTCCATCAAAAAAGAGCCGTGGCTGCAAAACATCAACACCAAAAATCACAACCAGGCTTAATTTGGTGGCCTGACAGTCACTGGAAGATTCAGTCGCTGCTTAATGTGCGGGGAGGGGGGATGAATTAAAACTGCGTATCTCAACAGCAGCTGTCTCTGCTGGAAGGAAAACATGGAGCTGGTTTAAACTTTTGTTTTGAACATTTCAACTGTCACTTTTAAAAGCAATGATATAAAATCAGAAACTACAAAGTCCGATACTGCTGAATGATCCTCACTTCTGATCTACAAATGGCTGCAAAGTCAGTCAGCCAGAGACAGAGTTTAAGTGTCTGGTTCATATTTGTACCCTTGATTAGTGATGTCCGATCAGCTTAGGGATGCTATTGTAGAAAATAAAAATCAGACAGAACATACAGGCTGACATGCAGCAACTATCATCTGACATGGATTTTTATTTAGGTTTCCTGAGGTCGCAGACTGACTCTGTTCTTACATCTGAGGTCTCTAGTCTGACTCAGGAAACAGGAGAAGAAAATCTTGGTGCCGATGTCCTTTCTCAGTTTTCTGTCAGGCTGCAGCCAAAGCCCTCCAACAGCTTCATAGTCCTCATTGATTTCAGTCAGGTCAGCTCAGGTCAAAGATTTACACGTGGCTTAAAAAAAGATTCATTTCCTGTCGAGGATGTCTGTGTTTTTGTGTTTCCGTTTTTAACCAATGATTGTGAACATAAATGAAAAAAAAAACAAAAAACATTTGCATTTGCAACTCAAGTTCGAGTTTAATTCTAAAATGAAAGAGTAACTATTACTATATTTGATAGTGAGCGCCCTCACGTCTTGGTTAGAGCATGTTAGCAAGTATAAACTTGGACATGCACGAGTATTAGAGAAGAAATGCTGCTAATAAAACCAAAACGATTAAAAAAGAGAAAAACTGAAGAGCCTCCTGCTACAGCAGGTAATTAAAACATGACTTCAAAGACTGATCAAGACCGTGTTTAAACCTGGAGATCAATCATAGATGGACTGGACTCTTTGAATCCTCTGCAGTGTAAACATGTGCAAACATGTGGGGAAGATCAGACATTAGCTCATTCAGTGCCATTGACAGATTTTGACAGATTTTTCAGGTTTTTTATTTTCCCCCAGAGGGCTCTCCTCCCCAATATGCGACTAAGTTTGGGGTCGTTCTGAGTGCAGAAAAGCCGATAAATACGTCATAACCATGTTTCAATAACAAAAACAAATAGTCGCTAGTGAGAAGTGTGCCATGAAGTGTGCCAGTTAGCCTTGTTGTTGGAGCATCTTGTTGTTGGAGCATCTCATAATAATACCATGACACTATGTTCCTGTTTTTTATACAACCTGGCCGCTGGGCTTAAAAATGATAAGTGCAATCATCGAAAATTACAGTGAAGTCTGTGTTGCATGTCTTAATCTGCACTTGAAGTTTGAATGAGGTTCATTAAGCTGTTTGGATTCAATTAAACAGATTTTTTGCTATATAAAACTCAAGGAAGCTGCTTTATGCTCCTCAGGTCCTCTGATTATCTAACAGGGATGCATAGACGTTCTCAGAGGCTGTGCAGGGATCAAACCCGTGACCTTATGTTTATGGCTCCCCTCTATATGTCGGGCCACCCTGACTGTCTGAGAAGACTCTCCTGTTTCAGAGACATGTGGGCCTGCTTCTCCTCTTGGAGGTATGACTCCAGCTTCTGACTCATACAGATCTATGAATGACTGTATTTAAAAGTCTAATCTGAGTTCATAAGAACATTATGAAGAAATTTGTCAAAGTGCTGTCTGGAGTTCATCTTCAGAAAAGCCCTGAAGGTTGTTTCACTTTTTGGAGAAGTACTTTCTCTGAAACATCAAACTCTATCTTTGATCCGTAAATGAGGCTTTAGTGAGTCAGCCACTAAATCAGTCTACAAGGAAATGAGTCTATATTGAGAACTGACATTCAACATTAGAGTCACTCTGAATAAAGAGGAGAGAGGATGACATGCAGCTGAAGTTTGTGAGTCAAAGTCAAAGCCACAACAAACAGAGGAGGACAGTGTGAGCTGTTCAACCCTCAAATATACTGTCCTACATACTGTATGTGTTTCCATTAAAAATCACGTCATGCATCCTCTCCTCTTCTGAGCAACTCTTTCATTGCATTCATGGTTGGCAGAAAATAACACAATTTCTATTAATGCTTCTAGATTTAATATTTGACCGTATATGTGGTTTAATAAGAGTTCTGTGCAGCATATGTTTTACCTTATACCTCATGCTCTCTCATCAAGAGATCCGTCTGTGACGAAAACATGTTTTCATGGAGAGAGGAAGGTTAGCTTAGAATTGATGAAATTTACTCAGCCCTGTCTGCCAGAATACGACTTTTATGTAGCACAACAGAGAAAAAGTTTCCCATGAAGTCAAGAGTATCAAAAGTGAATACATTAGCATTTTCCAAAGCATGTTTCAAACACAACATCCAAATACAAAAGCAAAATTAACTTTCTTTAGACACTTTTGTGACAATACTTCCAATAAAAAAGTGACCCCAAAGTGTTCTCTCCAAAGAAAGGTTCAGACTGAGACCACATCCTCGAAGATCAGACCCACTCCCATACTGTCTTCAACCACATAAGTGAAACACTTGGACAGTATCTAGGGAGGAAGAACTTCCTGTAACAGGCAAACCTCGAGCAGAACCAGACTCATGTTAGGCTGTCATCTCCATTCATTTATTGGTTTGTTTACTTTTATTTCACTGTCCCACATTTTCCTTTTTCATTTCTTTTTTCTCTTCTAATCTTTTTTAATCTACTTTGTTTCTCAAACCACTTTGTAAATTTTAGTTTTTAAACGACTGTTATTAAGTTATTTTTCAGAAGATCTTTTTGTACCTGCAGCCATCAGACTTTACAATTCTTCTTTAAACAGTAGATGAGTTTTAAAGACATGACAAATGGGACTACAGAAAATTGAATTTCCCTTTGGGGATAAATAAAGCTCTTCTTCATGTTGTTCTCCCTTTTCTTCTTTTTCTTCTTGTTCTTTTATTTCTTGCTCTTCTTCTTCTTCTTCTATTTTTATTGTTATACACTACCAGAAACAGCTGCACATGTGCATTAAAACTGCACATTGCTGAATACAGAGGAAGTTTTTGGCACTTCTAACTTGTCTTTTGTTTTTTAGCATTGACAGATGCAGCTTAAAGTAAAAAAAATAAATAAACAACAACAACAAAGAAAGAAAAAACTACTGAACAACTTCATTATTTAGAAAACTTTCTCTTTACTTTGAAGATCATTTGTGATCCTTATTTTATCCTGATATCAATCAACATCCGAAAGTATCCGCGCAGGTGCACCACATACCCATTAATTACTCATTATTGTACTGGAACATTTCAGGATCTCTGCAGGCTTTAAATATCTCAGTACTTTTTGAACTATTGAGCCAAATACATTCAGTCAGCTGGAGAGTTTATGCAACATGATTTATCTTTATGTAAGAGTCACGGTTTAGATTAAGTTTATGGCCAACCTGCTAATGCACATTCTTAATTTATAACTACACAACAGAGTCAGATTTAGATATATAAAGTGCATACTTTGTATGTGCCTTATGTTTTCTCCTCATGGGCACAGCCAACATGGTCTCCAGCTGTTGTTCTTTCTCTCAGGGTGGTCAAATTAAGTTAACTTTCTGCCTTCTTTTAACAGGATTGCCTCAAAAGACAACACTGCCTGGCTGAGGCCCGACTGTAAAAGGGTAATAAAAGAAGAGACTGAAAAACAATAGATAGAGCCAGAGGGAGGGGGCTGAAGATCAAGTGGGAAATATGGAACCACTTAGGCCCCACGAAGGGTTAAAGATGGTTGTGGAATAAGTGGAGCTCGTTTATCGCAAATTCGACAGTGGTAGTTAAATGGTGAGCTTTCTCTCAGAGCTGCCAGTGTGGAGACAAGGCTCTCTCTCCTCATCCCGAGTCTCCTGCTGCTGCTGCTGCCTCCTCTTCTTCTTCTTCTTCTTCTTTGGTTTATGGCTGCTGTCTACTGGTCTTTGCTCTTAATCTTCAGCAGGAAACAGGACAGACAAGAGGAGGATTTTTTCTTCTCTCACCTTTACACTTGTCTCTGCGTTGGGCCTACAAGATCACCCTCTCCTCTCCACCTCCATCACCCCCTGTCCGTCCTTTTCTGCCCCTCACTGTGGATCTAAATCTCTGACCTGCCTCACTGGGGTCCCTGCAGATGTCCTCAGCCCGGCGCTGAAGCGGGGGCTCTCCAGCAGCCTAGATGCATCTGCGAGTCTTTGCCTTTGTGATGTCCTTGCTTTGTGAGGTGATCAGGATGGGCTCTGGTGTCGTGCAGAAGCAAAGTGGTGAGTAGATCATGATAAGAGAGTTCGAGGGCATGCGACTTTAAAACAACACTTCTCTCTGTGGTTTCTTAGCTTGTCCAGATGATGTGCATGACAGGAACTGACCAGATTGACTTTTTTCAGCCAAAAAAGTTCAAAGTGCACATGCATGATTTGCAGAATTGTTTCAAGAGGCAAGTGTTTTAAAACTTTTTCTTCATCAAAATGTTATTTTTCTGCAAATACTTTAAAAGAGGTGCAAAACTTTGCAGGAGAGATAAGCCTCCACCAAAGTGAAGAATGCAGAGCTGCACTGTCGTCATTTTATTGACCAAAAAACAACCATGAGTTTGGCAAACAGTTTTTCAGCAGAAAGTAGGAGGAGGGTTTCAAATGCACATTTTGACACTCAGCACTTGTTGCTGTTTTTAATCCTGTATTTTGACTGCAGTGTCAACATGTATCTCTTTCTTCATACTTTTATTCCAAAACTGAAAAACAAGGGTGGAAACAATCTTTTGACAAAAAAAGCATCCACATTTGTTGCAGCCATTGCAGAAGGGCTGCACCGTAGCGGACTTAATTTTAATGTTTTGTTGTCATGGATAGTTTCTTTGGTAATATGCATGACTGAAACTTTTGCATGAATTTTAAATAAACTCCTGCTGTTCTCCAAGTAACCCCCAGAGGTGAAAGTACCTTGACTAAAAAGAATCAATTAATATCAGAACTTTTATTGAACATTTTATTTCACAAGAGGAAAAGAAAAGATGTTTGATATGCAGATTTTTATTAGATGAGTTAACACATTATGTAAACAATTTCAAAAACCTTTGAGTTCGTGACTTAATCCCGAATAAATGACGGTAAATGAAGACAAAGAGGTTTCGATCTTTCACCAAAACAGTCCTTAATGAATCCCAGCTGCAGACACTGAAAAAGACATATTTCTCATGTCATAACAAAATTTCCTTCCATGGTGCCAAATCCTGAATCCCCATGTCGCTCCTTGTTAAGATCTGCAGCAGCAAACGCTCCGTAGTGTGCAGAGATTCTCCTCAAATCCACATTTGTGACTAATGAGTCCCTATGAAATCCTCCAGAAGACAGTCCTGAGCAGGTACGCCGTGACCTTCGCGCTTGCTGCTGCTGTCTGGCATTTCCTCAGGAATTCAGGACTAATGGAGCATCATCCGGTCTCAATTACAGCGTCAGTTTGGCTTCTGACGTTTGCACCCAGTGGCTGAGAGGAGAGAGGCGTTAGAGGATGATTAGAGGGTCTGCGTGGAGCCATTAAGTACCACTGACTCTCATTCAACTTAACAGCATGTGACGGCAGCATTAGACTGTTTAAATGCAGCAGATTTACCAAAACCAGGCCAGATCAGTCATATCCAAAGAGAGATTGCACACCAAGAGAAACGGCAGAAACTTGTAAAATTACACTTTGAAATTTGGGAAAAGAGGACGCGCATTGTTGAAATTAGGTTTTAAAAAACAGGGCGTCAAAAGGCCCCAAAATATGGTCACACAAAAATCTATTAGCAAATGCACTGCAAAAAAAGGCAGTGCAGCAAAGTATCTAGGAATACTCCAAAGAGTAAAACAAAAAAAAAATAAATAAAATAAAAAAATAAAAGGAAATTAACATTTTTGGCATCACACGGTGTGCAAACAAAGAATAAAACCATAACAGGTTGTTGTAGACTCAACAAGTTCCAGTGTCGTCTCCCTGCAGCCTTTTGATGCTAATGGACCTGAACAGCTTCAGGATAAAAACTATTTCCAGGTCAGACTCTGGTTTTGGGCACCTCAGGTTGACCTGCTGTCAGAATTCATCACTTCATGGCACAGAAATTTATATCACCATTTCAGCCTTCCCTCACCCCCTGCCTAAGCGCCCCACTTTTGACTTTTTACACACAACTGTAAAGGTTTGAAGTGGTTTAGTGCAGGAAAAGGGAACTTACAGAAGCCGCTTTTATGTCCATTAGTGCGATTTATGTTCCTGTAAGGATACAGTAGGTAATTGTGAGCACCTGTGAGTGTTTCACAGCTCAGAGTTCAGAGGGAGGGGAGGGAGAATGATCAGAATGTGCGATAAAATACTTCTCTGGTTAAGTATGCAGAGACAGGCTTCATAAAGACATCACAACATGAAGAGAAAGAGCTGCAGCATCTATCCTGAAACACCACAGCTGAATCTTTTCGGGCTCTTTTAATGTTTAAGCATTTTCATCTTATAACATTGGATATTTCCCAGTTCTAATTCTGCAGTCCCAGGATCGAAGGTGTTTCTGATTTGCTGTGAAAACTTGGACCGTTTTGAAGAAAATGAGGTTATTTCTTTTCGTTTATTTGCATGCATCTACCTCACACACCTCCAAGCACTAGGTGGAGCAAAGTGCAAACACAAACAGACGTGTTTACAGAGAGAAAGAAAGAGTGTAATCAGCTGCAGGTGTTGCTGCTTGTTTGTGCCTGTTGTTGTACATTTTGGACTTTGTAGGAATAATGTTTGGTGAGTCTAGGAATAATTGTATGGTTTTGTTTGAGCGTAGATCAAAAGGAAATGGCTCAGTGTTTTACACTCAGTAAGCAGCCGTGGGTCATGTGGTCTGACGGTGAGCTGAGGGTTTGTTTGTTTGTTTCTACCAGCTCAGATGGATTAAAGTCCAAACCCAGTTTCAGTTTCATTTGACCTGCTTTACTTTCAGTCGTATCCAAAAACTTGGCTCATTAATTTGCTGTGTCTTGATTGGTTGAAGGATATACAGTGTAAAAGTGAAAGAGCTCTTAAACGAGTTTATAATATGATTGAATCTCTCACCTGATTTTCACTTTACTTGTCAAGTTGACCCAGATCTGTCAGACTGTCGAGGTTTATGAGACTCTGGACTTACACAACGGCAAAACATGATATCAGTATTTGGGCTTCACACCCTCATGACGGTCACCATGGCAACAAAGTCAACAATGTGGACAGTCTTTAAAAGTCACAAAGCTCTAAAAGACGAGAAAAACCTTGGTGCCGGTGTCGTCGCCCCCCTTTTTGTTTTTGAAACTGTGGTCGCCATGTTTGCTCAAGCTGACACAGCATAATTTTCAGTTGACCAATTAGAGTCCAGCCTTTAGCCTCCTGCCTCTGATTCGCCAATCTGGTGACCATAAGTAAAATGAAGACAGGGGTTCAGTACAGTGGATCTTGTTGGAGCCTTTTTTTACCAGGCTGTAAATGTTTTCATCCTCGCTCTAACATTAGCATTCAGTCTTTACAAAATTAAATTATGGACGACTGACGACTTTCTGCAAATCAACATTGATAAATCTGAAAAAGAAAACCTGATCATGAATAATCTGGACAAAGAGACAAATTATCGAAAGCCATCAGCGTCACTTTTCCCTCCAAGCTCGATGAAATGTCTGTCAAATGTTGGAAAAATAATGTACCAGCCCTTTATTTTCTCGATCTAATCTGCTCTCTGAACCTCATCAGTGTTTCCTCCTGTGAGCTCATCTCCAGCGTGGAATCTCTCCTTCAAACACCAGCATGTTCCCCTGAAACCCCACTAAGGCTTGTCCCACCTGGTGCTTGTTAAAACCTGGTGCAATCCCATGCAAGGTCAAAGGTCGCCGTTTTACGCCACCTAAACCTGCCACGCCTCCGAAAGTCCTTCTAAGCCTGTAGATCGATTGCACATGTGCAGAGAGACAAAATGAGCCTCAAAGTGAAGCTCTCAGAGATATTGGGAGGAAATCTGCTCCTCTCTAATCCACATTTAGTCCTCACCTTGTCTCACTTATCTGTAACTGTGCTAAAATAGAGAGGCTTGACAAAAATCTCTAACATGTGCAGGGCCAGAGGTCAATGTTTAGCGCTTCCTAAAGGCTGAAAGGAAAAAATCACTGTGTCTGAAACTTTTCCTCTTCACCTATTTTTGCTTTTGACTGTCTGAGCGGATCTACTCTTGATTTCAGCTCAAAAAAGGGTCTGAAGGTGTTTCCCAAGATGCGGATTGATTCTTTCTTTCACATTTCGGTGCAGATCTTTCAGAACAGGTCGACAGAGTGGGTTTTAGTTCAAAGACTGGTCCAGTCTGAGCTGGAGGTGCAGCTTTATGGTGCCAAAGTTGTTAAAATCCCAAAAAAAGTCTGCCTTTTGTTGCCTTCAGTTTCCAATAATCCTCTGCATGCTGGCCTGGGTTTTATAAAGGTTGAAGTGGTTTTTGCCCGCACTTCAAGCCTCATGCAAAAATACTGAGGATCTTGAAGTATCTGGTCTTAAATTGCAGTTTAAGTCCAGCTATTCTGAATTTTTGGGATTAAATAACAGCTGCATTCAGATTAAGTCATTTTCTGAACTGCACCACATGTACCCCCAGATAAACCAAAGACCTGGTACAGGAAGAATCTACTGGAAGCTGATGTAATTGATAATCTTGTTATTTGTCTCCTGAAGTCAGTTAAGCCTCAAACAGTCATTTAAAAGAGTTTTAGTCCTGAAACTTCATGTCTTATTAGTACAGCCGGGTCATGTTCAACATCTGATTGGTGGTGAACCACAATCCAATCACATGACGACCCTTTTAGAGGCTGATCTGATGCTAAGGTAACTATTGCTTCTTGTGGAGGACATGAGATCCAGTTTAGCAGAAAAGGCTCAGTTCAGGGATCTTATACAACAACCAGAACAAGAGCAAATCCACGAAACCAGAATCCAGATAATTGGACACAAACCTGAATGCACAAACACCGGAAACACTGGAGTTTATATCTGAGTCAGGCTAATTACAAAAGAGACACAGGTGCGGAGGAAAAAGGCGAGAAACAAAGAAACAGCAGGAATTCACAAAAACACCAGGAAATGAACACAAACTAACAGAGTTTAAGAATTTAAGGACCAATGACTTAAATTTAAAGAGGAGCACTTGGACTTACAGGGGCCTTTGTGTGTGTGTGTGTGTGTGTGTGTGTGTGTGTGTGTGTGTGTGTGTGTGTGTGTGTGTGTGTGTGTGTGTGTGTTTAAAAAAAATAGAGTATATATTATAATCTATGTTTTGAAAGTGTTTAGAGCTCCATCTATGGCTGTCTGCAGAATAGGTCATAATTCCCTCCTCCTCCATGTAAACAGATGGAACAAATATCAAGCTATCAGATTAAAATAAAATTCTGATCATATTTCCTCCAACATGGTTTCTGCCATTATAGATCAATGTATTAAAATAACAGAAATTATTAGGCCGTCTTAAACATCTGCATGTTTTAAAAAAGTGACTAAAATCCAATGGTTTGAAGCCCTGATGATATTTGAAGGTTTTGACCTGACCTTTAGATGCCTTGCCTGCACCAGGATTGTGTATCCGAGCCTTTAAGGGCATCGAGAACTGAGATATGTGTTCAGCAGCAGTTCCTCTGAGGATGCAAGCAAGTACACCTTGTATCTGAAAACTTTAAAGCAGCTGTCGACAAGAGAAGAGTGTTTGATATTTAAGAGACTTTACAAAGAGATGCAGACAGCCTCAGGTTCTGACAGACCACTCAGGGTGATAGTGAAGAAAGCGTGCTGATAAAAACTGCTGTCTTATGTAACATTAACTAGAACAAGTCCTGACTAGATCCCACTCATGGTTGTTGAACTCCTCTGTCTGTCAATCTCCTGATGAATTTCTCTCTGAGTGATTGATCTGGAGAAACCAGAAAACAAACCTGTGGGCTGCTGATCTGGAGTCAGCGGTTTGGTGTTTGTTTGAAGACCTTTCAGCACCTACTTTTGTTAAAGTCTGCTCTATTTTCATCCTGATGGTTCTTTCAAATATGTGATGTCAATTTTTTCAATCAGACATGATACATGAGACTGTGAGGGTCTGCAGGTGATCAGCGGGTCTGTCTGCAGCAGGAGAAGCTCATGTTCATCTGTGTTTTTGTCTTCGCTCTGCAGCACAGATGGCCACAAACAGTCAGACCATAAAGTCCATAAAAATGTAGTTTATGCATCAATTTATGTTATTTTTCTACATTTTTAAACACTTTATGGGTTATGTAGGATTTCAAATCTAAGTTTTAGGGTCTCATTTTTTTGATTTCATAATGCATCTAATATTTCCAAGTCAGGACCGCATCAGCCCAGGTCTCTTCTCCTACAGAGCCATGCTGTTGTAATCCCTGTTGTCAGAATGTGGTTTGAGATCATATGGAGGTCTTCCCTGAAAAACTCATTGTCTGGATGGCAGCAGATGTTGTTCCTAAACCTGGAGATATTGTTTAAAACTGAGGATGCAGCATCTATGATTTCTAGTTCTTCGTTGAACGGTTACCCTTTCCAAAAAAAGTGTTAGATTTTCATTCATCAGACCTCAGGACAGTTGACGGAGATGTCAATGTCAGCTTTATTTATATAGCACATTTAATACAGCCAGTGGCTCGCCAAAGTGCTTTACAGTAAAAAAAAAAAAAAAGCAAGAAACTATAAAAACAATCAAAGCATAAAACATATAAAAACATAAAACAATATAGATAAACATAGCAAAAATGATCCAATAAAAGTAATACAACCCCAAAGGCTAAAGTGAACAGGTCTGTCTTAGACGTGTTTTAAAAGTGGAGAGGCTATTTGCAGTGTGCACTGTCAGGCATAAAGCATTACACAAAGTGGGAGCCACAACAGAAAATGCTTGATCTCCCTAGATTTTAAAAAGGATCGAGGAACGTCAAAAACCACCTGATTAGCTGATCTCAGGGCTCTGGAGGGCTGATGCAGTTAACCAAGGTGAGACAAGTATTCCGGGGCCAGCTCATTCAAAGACTTAAAAACAAATAAAAGAATCTCAATATTGACCCTGTACCTAACAGGGAGCCAGTAAAGTGAGGAAAGCACCAGAGTTATGTCCTCCTGTTTCTTAGTCCCAGTTAGGAGACAAGCTGCAGCATTTTGAATGAGCTCAAGCGGTTGAGCTCTGACTTACCAATGTCAACATACAGGGAAGTGCAACAATCTAAATGAGATGTCATAAAAGCATGGATAACTTTTTCAAGGCCCTTCTGGCTTAATGTGATTAACTTTGGCTAAAAAAAAGGGATATTAAGCCCATGCAGTGACTCCAACTGCAGAGTCCTGATACTCCTGATGCTATTGTTAAGCATTCATGGATATGGGAGATACCCACTTCACGTGAGGTTTGAATATATGCAACTTTATGTGAGTGTCTTTATTTTGAAGCAGGGGTTGCAGCATCCATGATTTCCCCCCCAAAAAAAAGTCCAACAGGGCTGCACGATTTTGGCCAAATATAAAATCCAGATCTATTCTATGAAAACTCCATTTTCAATTTTGATTCACAACTTCACCATTCTCCACTTCAATAAAAAGTTTTGATATCACCCCTCAAAATAAAACCTCTCAAAACGATGAGGTGCATATGCCAAGCCAGCAAGTGGCGCTGTAATGCTGCTCAGGAAATGCACAAAAGACAGAAGAAGAGTACAAATACTGTGTATAAAGGTTGTTTTGGCCAGACACTTGTAGGCGCCATAAAAGAGTTACGCTGTGTGTCACATGATCATTTCCAGAGATGCATATAAGCATCCACACGAAGATAAAATGGTAGTCGTGTACGGATTTATTCACTCTCTGAGCCATTTTCATAAAGTACTGTTTACAGTCACCTGAATAGAGCCCATTGTCTGGATGAAATGCAGCAGATGTTGTTCCTAAACCTGGAGATATTGTTTAAAACGTGTGGTGGTTGATTTTGCCTTCAGACAGACTTTTTATGTGGGTGTGGTTTGCTCCTCGTCCAAAACTGCAAAGCTGTACCAATTCCACACGACTGATCTTGCTCTTGTACTACTTAGCCATGAAATTATCGCCATCTTTCGCAAACTTTACACTGGTGTGTGTGGGAACTGGGGAGCGCTCCCGCGGGAAGGGGGAGCCTACGGTTGCCTGGAGGCGCGAGACATGATAGAGAGAAAAGAGAAAAATATTTTTTTTGTTGACGATTTAAATTTTTTTAACATTGTCATAATCAAATAATCTTATAATGATTTAAAATCGATTAATCGGCCTAGTCCAGCATTTCTGGATCATGTTTCTTCTGTGCTCGGTTCAGTTTGAACCTCAGGAAATAGCCTGTGCTCACAGAAAATGGTTTTTGGACCTTACTGCCATCCCTTGCAGTGATTTATTCTGGAATTGCTGAACTATTTCCTCATCCTGTCTCTCACAGAGCTGTGAAACTCTGCTCTTATGCTCAGTCATGATACTAACCTGATGCTAGTTAATGTAATTAGTTGGGAAATGTTCCTCCAGGTGTTTTGTGTTTAGTATTACACAACTTTTTCATTGGATGTGTTAAACCACCCTGGTGAACATGTCTGAAAAAGTGTTGCTTACATCAGATTCAAAATTATTTTCAGGTTTAATGGTTTCAGACTTTAAATGAATTTCAAACCATCAAAATCTTTTTAATCAACATTTTGCACAGAGTCCAACCCTCATGGAGTTTAAGTTTTAAAAGTTCTGGTCAATTAACTTTTTAAATGTGTCGATAATAATGTAAAAATGAACCTTAAAAAGTTGTTTTCCTCTTCATTAATGCTGACAAACTGCGTGAACTTTGACCTTTCATCTCCTGAATTCATTTTAAAATCTCTTCAGTGGCTTAAACACACACACACACACACACACACACACACACACACACACACACACACACGCACACACACCTCCAGACATGCCGAAAAGTGGTGGGCAGTCAGCCACAGGTATTTTGTCAGGATCCGACTCGATTGTTCAGACTCACGCACACTCGCCGGCTGCTCTTCATCTCCGAGCTTCAGCTCATCTTTCCATCCCTCCAAACCTCGTCCCATCCCTCTTTCCATCCCACCTTCCTGTCTTTCCACATCGTCTCTAATCCCCATCGGATGGAGAGCATTCCGACTTCTTCTGTTGGGACTTTGCTGCTCACAATAAGATCAAACCATACTTAGTCAGTATTAGACATAAGCCTGACAGCCAAGCCACCAGGACATGTGAGATTTATCCTAAAACCTTGATCTACTCTATTCAATCTGTGTGGCAGAGAAAAAAAGCTGAATTCATGAAGTAAAGAGAGATTCATGTGAAGGCAGAGGGAGTGAAAGACCTAAAACAGAATGTGATACAATGTGTTTGTTTCTCTTTTTACACTGTGTGTTAAATCATCTGTCAAATAATCCTTTCTAAAGAAAAACAAACAAACAGATGTATGCAGAATTTCAGTTAATAGTTTTGCTTTTATTCCACATTTCCTTTGGTAACCCAAAAGAGGCGTTGGTCCAGCTGTCCTTCATCCCCTTTGATAAGTAGCAATAGATTTCTTCATAAAATTCGTCCATGTTTTCTCCGAAGAACTTTAATCCCATGAAACCTTATCCGGCGAAAACGGCGTCTGTAATGTCCAGACCAACCACAATCTTCTACGTCATCCCAACTAACTTTCAGCCAATCATATAGCATGACATCATCAATAGGCGCCGGGCCCCGAGCTTATCTGGCAGCCAGAACATATCTGGTACCCACACCAGTTCATTTTCTGACAAAACAAACCAAGCACAAAACCTGAAAAAACAAATCAGAAATCATTGACATAAATACTACTAAAGGAAAGGTGGAGGCAGGGAGAGTATGCAAAGACCCAACAGCTGTGTTTCAGTTCAGCACAGCTTTCTGTTTTGCTCTGTCAATTCCAGTAAAATAAGGGAAACTGACAGAAAAACATCCAATGTCTGTCTTTTTATCAGTGACTCGAACCCCTTCCTCAGGGTTCATTTGAAAAGTCTTTTATATTATGATTGATTAAAATGACATTTAAGTCTCTGAATGTTCAAATCCTCCAGATTCTTCTTTAGCTTTGACACACTGGACCATCCTATATGAAGGACCAGGGGCGTCACTAGACCTAATACTGTACTGGGGCACACCTGGGGCACAAAAAATTCACAAGAGTACGCAAAGTGCGTGAGAAAAAAAGCATATTCAGCACTTATTTATCATAAAAAATCCCACCCTTGTGACAAAAAAGTCACCTGACCAAAAAGCATTCTGTAAGAAACTGGCAGGTTTTTTGTTTTCTAAAAAATTATTTTCTGTTTTTTCCTCATATGGGAGGTTTTGTATTTCTGCCATAGATATTCAAAATCAAATGACTCAGGGGCAAAAAAAGAAAAAAAAACATGATTGGGACATCATTCATTGATAGTCAACTCACCTCCACTCTTGCTCATCAACTTTCATCTCTCCCTCACCTCTTCCAACACTCTGTTGTTCCACTTTGTTTGGACAGACATGAAAATATATATATATAAAATGTTTTTCTTCTTGAAGATAGGCCATTTGAGAACCACTGCACCATCCATAGGCTATATCTGTCAACTAACACAAGCTTACTCAAAATTATCATTGATGCAGAGGTCCAGAGCAGAACATAACCATCATTATGTTTCATGCTGATGAAACTCACTGGAAATTCCCCCCACAGCTCGTACAGCAAATTAATATGGTTGTCTTGATACAAGGAATAACTTTAGCTAACTTAGCATTAATTTAAGACAGACTCATGTTTCCTAGCTAGCTAGGGCTTCACTTACCTCTCTCATTCCTCGCTGCTTTATCCCTGCTGCGGGCGAATTACTTTCTGATATCCATCTAGGAGTTACAGTTCGAGTCAAATCAAAATCAAAATAATATTTTTAACAAGTTGTTATCGGCTAGCGTTACCTACCTCACGCAGTGATTCTCATCGCCTGCCTCTCTCTCTCTCTCTTCTCTCTCTCTCTCTCTCTCTCTCTCGCTCTCTAGACTTCGAGTTGACACAGAAGTATTATCAACCATGCTATGTAGACTTAAAACTCTGAAGGGATTTTTTTTTTTATTGGTGAAATTTTTGCAGATCAATACTGGGGCACGTGCCCTAGTGAAATCTGTCTGGCGACGCCGCTGTGAAGGACCCATGAGTCTTTGGGCCAACTAAAAAAAAATGTCAGTGTTGACTTTGCACAATTCATTAAATACAGGTAAAGGTACATTACTACATTAACACTGAACATCATTAAACGAGTTCTCTTGTTCCCTTCAGCTCACAGAGAGACATCAGATGACTGTCGCAGCTGTCTGGAGTGTTCTCGTGACAACGGCTGTGTGCGTTGCCCTGAGCGACTCTTCCTGTTCCTGCAGAGAGATGGGATGTCTCACCACGGCACCTGCCTCCATGCCTGCCCCGCCGGGCACTACGGCCAGAGAGGGAAGGACGTCAACCGCTGCATGAGTAGGAGTTTTTTCTTTCAGACTACTTCACTTCAAAAACAAATGAGTTATAACTCCTGAGGTCCAAACTAAAGGGGAGATGATTTTTCTTCACTAAGAGAAATAACAGAGAAGTTCCTAAACAGACAGACAGACACAGTCGTTCCTCGAGTGAAATTCACTCGGCCTAATTCATCCCATAAGTTTGTTGTGCCAACAATGGTTTAGAAAACACACAAGAATATAAAGTTTTTGTCTCGTCTCCTAAAATGATTCAGAGATGCTTCAGTATCCTGAGACAGTTTCATCATGTCAGGCTTTGGAGCAGGACTTCCTGCAGTATCACCCAGTTTGCAGAGTTTGTTTCAAAGCTTTTTAGTTTATTTTCATCCTAAAGTAAAGTGTAAAATAAATAGAGTATTTCCTCTCCCTCCTTTGCCTCCTGTCAGAGTGCCGCTCTGCAGACTGTGAGCACTGTTTCAGTCGGGATTTCTGCACTAAATGTAAACCGAGCTTCCATCTCTACAAAGGGAAGTGTCTGAGCCACTGTCCACCGGGGACCTTCGCCCACCACACAGACTGTTTCGGTGAGTAAAGGCAGACATCATCAGACTCTCCTTCTGCTGCACCACTCTGTCTCTTTTTCATCTTAGAAAAAGAGGATTTCTACAGAGTTATAATGCTGCTCAACTTCTGGGTAAAACATGTAAACTCTGGATCATCTGCAGGACATTTAAGTTTGTATGAAAGTCAAACCATGAAAAGTTTCCTTTCGTGTGATTTTAGTTTTTTTTTTTTTTTTTTTTTTGAATGGGTGTGTATGTAGTTTGAGGACTTTTTGATCCAGCCTCTAGTGGTCATTTGAGAAACTGCAGGTTGTGGCGATTTGGCCCTGGCTTTGTAGTCCTGTGTTGTATGTAGCTCTGATGGAGGTGACAGACCCTCTCTCTTAAATCATGTGTTTGTTCTGATCTGTAAATCCTGTCGGTCTCTAGGGGTGGAATTATCCTGCACAGAAGCAGCAGGGAGGCCGGGTTCAGAGTTCGTTTAGCTGCACACGTCGTCTTTGATTGTGGTTTGTGATTTTATCTCACATTTAGTAGATTTCAATCAAGAGTTTTAATAGACTCCGCCTGCGTTAGTGAACTACAGCTGCTCTTGCAGTGGACTGAGAAACCAGGAACCAAATCTTGGATTAAACACAGAACCATATGGATCAGATTATTCTTCTCAGGGAAGTGACATTATTACATTAACAAACCCACAGTTTCTATCTGAAATATGTTAAATATTTCCTTCAGGGACTCATTTCCTATCTCTCTCTGTCTCTGCGCACTCATCCACTCCAGTTCTCACTCTTCATTTTTCATTTCTCACCTTCATCTGTTCTTTTCTGGAGCCAAACCTTTAATCCAACCCATGATTCACCTTAAACGTCCTCGGAGAGATATTAGGATTCATCTTCATATTTCTCTGTGGATCATCCCTCCTTTCTAAATAAGTGAGATAAATAGTAGGAATCACTCATTGTTGGGAGGATTAAGGACTCCAAATCCCCCCCCTCCCCCCCAGCCCCTCTGTCTGCTGTCCACCTGCAACATCTGCAGCTACTGCTGCTCGTTGGCAGCGCGAGCACATCTGCTTCTCGTGGTGATGTTGAGGTTTCATGTCTGACTGTGGGTACACACCTCGAGCTACGGGAAACCTTTTCATTTCTGAGCCTGGGTCTAACATGATAATGATGATTAGAGGAAATGTTGGCATGGATCATGTTTTTTTAGTTGTAGAGCGCGTTGGAAAGAACTGCAGCCACTGATTTTGGTGAATGACATCAGAAGCGGCGACTGTGAGTGTATTAATGCTTCATCTGGACTTCATCTGCTGTTAATGATTTCACTGTGTTTGCCAGAGGTCAGGAGAAAGCATTAGTCTTTATATGTTCTTAGCTCACTGAGGATTTTTGGTTCAGATTCACTGATTTATCTTCATTATCTTAGAGCGTGTGTGTCTCTGATCACTGAAAACGTGGACCTGAAACATTAACAGGTGTGCTAGTAAAAAAAAAAAAAAGAAAGAAAAAAAAAAGACATTTTCAAGATAAAGGGGGAAAAGCTGAAATCAAAAAAGACGGAAAATGAGGAAATAAATAAAATTTCTCAGCAGGACTTTTCTACTTCAGAGCCACGCTGGTTTGTCATTGTCTGGATGGCAGTATACATTGCCATGGTTACCTCAGATCAGCTCATGTTTTTGTCCCTCCTCCTTTCCGGTAGATAACTGCCTCCTGGCTCCGCTGGGAGAGTGGAGCGACTGGAGCACCTGTCTCCGCGAGGGCGCCACCTGCGGCTTCAGGTGGGGAAAGCAGACCAGGACCCGGGGGAGCTTGACGTCGGACAGGACATCTGAAGAGAAACCAGAGTCGCTCTGCCCTTTACACAGCGAGACACAGAGGTGCAGGATGAAGAAAAAATGTCCAACAGGTAAGTCAGGGGACGAGAACACATCCGCACAGGTGCAAACAGGTGCAGATTGAGCTGATATCACACAATCCGACATAAAAACCAACAATAACAACTTCAGCTGGAGCCACCTGTTTCTGATCATCACAGGGTTTTACAGCTGATCACTAATGACCTTCCCTTCATGACGTGAGTCTGCAGACATCTGCGGACTTCTCTGTGTTGTTGCTCTGCTGTTGTTTTCTTCTTGTGCAGTTTATAATGTCAGGCAGGAGAACTCAGAGCTCATAAAAACAACCCAGCATATGCTACTCCTAATTATCACTTTAAGGCTGATGTGATGAGTTGTTCTTGAACAGGGGTAGAGCTTTCGTCTGGAAACTTCTCCAGGTGGAGACAGATTTTTACAGACTCATGATTTTTCAGCTGATCCACCTGTACAGTTTTTAACACCCATTACTAATCTCTGCTGAGGAAAAGGAGGATTTCACAAGTCAATAGGAAGTGCATGAGAAAAAATAATGCATAAGTATCGAATGATAGATGCTGACATGTTACACATTTGGACGCAGAGCCTCTGCAGTAAGGACCATCTGTGTGAGCTGGGGTGCTGGCGTCTCGCTCCTTAAACATAATTCCCTTAACCACATTTACTGTGTTGATAAAGCGTCAGAGATCCCTCAGATGGGTCAGGTCCACAGCAGAGCAGATTCTTGTGCTGATTTGAAGCAGACACTCATGGTTCAAACTTCCTCTTGCTGTCCCTCCTTTCCTCTGATAACTGGACCATGCAGTGCTGCCGGAGCCTCATTTGTCAACAAGGCTGTCAATAACAACTTTTTAAATAATCAAAGAAGAGTAGATGCATGACATAAATTATACAGTATGCACACCTTGACTGCAAGCACTCCTGAGCATGCATGATACAGATGTGCATTGATTATGCACACTTCCACTTACGGCTGCAGGATTTTGGCCAAAAATAAAATCCAGATTCTTTTCTCTGAAATCTTGATTTTCAATTTCTACTTTTTATTCAGTGAAAACTTCACCAAACTTCACTTTAAAGGTCCTTAGACACCGGGGCTGACGCGAATACAGAGCGCGAAATTATGAAATATTCTGAGGCGAATTTTGATGCGCCTGACTATACACAAAAAGGCCAATGCGATTTTGCAACTTTCCGGGGGGAAAAAGACGCGTCCCGGGCGGAAGCGAGAAGTCTGACACAACACCAGACTGACTGTTTTTCAGTTCTGATTAGACAATAGTGTTGAGATGACTGTCTGTCATGATAGCATGTACTGAGTCGGGGCCAGTACCAGATAAGCACATTAAACTATAATCCATAAACGTAAGGTAACAATTACAACAATTAGTTGCAACAACAACTAATGGTGCTGTGACAGCAACGTGTGAGACAGTAAAAATACATATGGTATGTTGTATCTGAACAGGTTAGCTTATGAGGTAAAGTTACTTAGCACAGATGAAAGTTAAAACAAAGACATTTCTCAAACTGTTAAAGCACACAAACTATTGTCATGTGAGAGATCCAACGCTGTGACTCTCCTCAAGTTGTCCTTCAGGTTGCTATCTATGTAATGTTTGTGTCTTTTAAAAGCACTCTGTTCTCAGACACATAAAAAATTAGCTGGTCTGCCATGTTGGATATACCGGTGAATCAGACGTCGCAACAACACGCAATCTGATTGGTCAGAAGTGGACACACAGTATGTGAAACTTTAGAAAAATCAACCATGATCCAAAAAAATAAATGCCGCAATATCGCAGGATGGGAAAAAGTCGCTGATGTGAACACTTGTATTGAAAGGATACGGGTTCGGAAAAAAAATATTGACGTCCAAAATAATTGCACATAAAAAATGGCCCCGGTGTGAAAGGACCATAAAAATAAAAATTCTTCTATCATCTCTCAAAACGAAACCACTGAGAACAATGTAGTGCATATGCCAAGCCAGTAAGTGGCACTGTAATGCTGCACAGGAAATGCACAAAAGACAGAAGAAGAGTACAGAGCATGTGTACAAAGGATGTTTTGGCCGGACACGCGCAGGCGCCACAAAAGAGTTATGCTCTGTGTCACATGATTGTTTCAAGAGATGCGGATAGGCATCCACATGGAGATGAAATGGTAGTCGTTTATGGATTTATGTACTCTGACCTGTTTTTAAAAAGTACCATTTACAGTCGCCATTTTCTGACAGTTTCCAACAGAGATTTCTGTGACTGAATTTTGAGGAAAAGGGAAAACAGTTTTCAGAGTTTTTGCTTTTTACTCATTTTTCTAAACGCCATTTCCGTGAAGTTGAAACGCTGATACAACAAAAAACTTTTGTGTTTACTCCAGAATTTGTTTCCATGTGGACCACGGAATTATTGTCTTCTTTTGCAACTGCCATGTTTGTTTACACTGGTGTGTGTGGGAACTGGGGAGCGACCCAGCAGGAAGGGGGAGTCCACGGTGGCCTCGAGACATGATAGAAAGAAAATTTGATTTGAGAATTTTAATTTTTTGAACATTGTCATAATCAAATAATCCGATTATGATTTAAAATGGATTAATCATGCAGACCTATTTCTACTGCAAACTGAAGCACACGTGTCTCTTTGTCACATTAAAGTCTTCATCCAGCCACTCGAGTATCATTTGAAGTGTTTGTCAGAGCTGTGGTCAGCACCCCCCATCATTTTGTTGTTACCAAATAAACGCTCCAACATTAATCATGGTGGTGAAAACTGACTACAAAGACAGGTAAAAGCATGTAAAAGAAGGATTTTTCTGCTGTGTGTTTGGGTTTTATAGTTTGACCCATGTGCCATCTGTTAACATGGAGGAGACAGGGTTTATGACCTGCACTGCATTCAGCAAGGGAGCTCCAAATGTTTTATCTTTTCTTCAGAGGAGCCATCATCATCTCTCTCTTGCAGCCTGTGATAATAACAACCGAGCTGGCTCGTTGTTTCCAGTTTTTTCTCTCGTAAATCTGTGACATAAAAAACGAATCCACACAGATTAAGATATCCGTTTATGCGGAAAATTCATGTCAGATATAAATGATGGAAATACATGTCATGTTCAAAACAAGCCAAACCTTGGTGTTGAACCTTCGTTCACCTCGAAAACTTCCATCCCAGACTAACGTCACTCATCTCCCGCCATAGTTCCCACATCAGCTGGAGGCCTTTATTATAACAGGATAAACAAATATTGTTTGGAAGCTTCACTGGAATAACCCGCGCTGTGGTTGTTTTCTTGGCGTCTCAGGCAGGGAGCAGTCAGGAAAGTCCAAGTTCAGAGAGTTGTTGTGATTTTCGTTTGATTCATTGCATCACAGTTTTTAGCCAATTAAATATGAGCCCATCATGTTTGCGATGACGGCATGTGGTGTGATCAGAGTTCGGCTGAAGGGAGGAAACCACTTTCTAAATGTTTATCTGTTTCATGGAAATGAAAAAGGAGGAAATCCCACATGAGAAAGTTTCCAACAGAGATGTCTGTGACTGAATTTCGAGGAAAAGGGAAAACGGTTTTGAAGGCAGAGTTTGTGCTTTTTACTAATTTTTCTGAATGAAACCTCCTGCCATTTTTAAAACTCTTCCCAGAATATCAAAACAAGGAAAATCAAGTATTTCCCAGGTGATGTTGACACATTAAAAGTCTAATACCCCCCCCCCCAACACCAACACCTTTAAAAAAAAAAAAAAACTCTTTGTTTTTTAACAATTTTGGACCTTTTGGACTAAAAGGTTAATCTTTGGCAAAAATCCTCTTGCATGTGTCTACAGCAGCTTTCTGGATCTTGCTGTCCTGATTACTTACAGATAGAAACAGAAGGGACGGAATATGAAGATGAGGACGATCACTGACCTCCTCTTTATTCAAGTCTCTGCAGCTGAATAAGGATTTCTTCTTACTTGAGATTACACCTTCAAACAGAGGAGGAATAATTTCCAGGATGTTACGCTCATCATGAGTACAGGAACAGTCTGAGTCGAGTCAGACTTCGTTTAAAACCAAACTCTGTTTTTTGTGAGAATGCTGTCAAAATGGGTTAAAATTGTTTTGAAGGAAAAAGAGACACAGGTTTATTTGCTCTCTTTTCTTGTTCCCTCACCACAAGTTCAACCAAAGCCTTGTTTATAACTCTGAATTAATTTCATTATGGTTTTCATAAAGTTAATCCAAACACTAAAAACCAGAGTTGGCAGCTGCTTTTTGTTGGTTTTCCTTTAAACCAAAATGTTGTCGGGATAATTTTGTGGATTTATGTTTCCTCCTGGAGCACAGACGACAAATGAAGCTGTGCAACATCACCACAGAGAAAGGATGTGAGCAAAAACATGACAACAAATACTGGAAGGGGGAGTTCTTTTTGGATCTTTGTTAATGTTATTAATATTTCAAACTGTGTTTTACTCCTTAATAATCTGTTTAGTTGTTTATTTTTCTCCCAAAATTGACCTTTAAAAAAAAAAAAAAAAGTTTATATTGATTCACAATTTCAATTAAGAAAAAGCAGCAAATTTGACAGAAAAAAACAGGAAATCGTCAAATAGTTGCTGTTCTTTATTTTAAGCTTCATTAATACACAAAATCAGAAGAAGCTGTGAAAGATTTTACTGAGCTGTGATACACTGAAACTTTGTAAAGTCAGTTTCAGGAACAAAAACATTAAAAGGAAAATTCTGCATTTCAACATTTTGGCCACTTCAATAGTTTCTATTCTGTGTGGATAAAAAAGTTCCTGTGTGGAATTCTGATCTGGTTGTGAAACAGACTGACCATCAGACCATCAGCAGAGATTAATGACAGGTACAGCTTTGTCCATAGGGGGGTGCCAACTCCCACACAAACCCAAAGGCTCTCAGAGGGGCTTTAACATAAAGGTCTCGCACTTTTCCTTTAAAACCAAATTTTCGCAGTAACCTTTAGGGAGTGCTGTTTTTCTGTGTTGTGCTCAAAAGAACAAAGATATATCAGATATTTAAAATGTAAATAAACAGTGATAATTTTAAAGTTTTTCTTTTTTTCAATCTAAGGACCTATCTCATCAAAGTTTAATGATTAGATTAGATTAGATTAAACTGGATTAAATTAGATCAGATTAGGTCAGATTAGGTTAGATCAGATCAGATTAGA